ATATTTCAATTCTTGTGTTCACACTGAAAATTTTTTTCCTAAGAATTCCAAATGAGAAAAAATAAAAGTATAAAGTGATCTTAACTGATATTTCCTAATATTGATAAAATATATAATGAAATGTTTACCTTCAAACATTACTACTCATAATTATAAATTATTGGGAGCTTCCTGGAAGCTTACAGAAGAATAAATTACAATTAAAGTGCAAAATATTAAAATAACAAATGTCTAAGTGAACTTAATAAAGAAGATCATGTGTTTTAGTACAGATCAATATGGTTAATTAAAAAAGCATGCGTTAAACCATGACGCAAAGAAAAGACTACTGATTCCAATTTTAAATCAAATTAAAGCAAACTTATATTTGTGTACACAGGAGCTGGCCAGGACTGTCTCTCCCAAAACCCCAGGCTATAGATCAGTATCTCTAGGAATACAGTTTTATAGGACAAAAAGTTGCAAAAGGAGGTGTCTTGAGAACTTACAGATAACAGGATTTTGACAAGCGTAATACAAAAGCAGATAGTAAGTTAATGATCTACATGGCTTAACATTTCGATGTCAGGATTAAATTTAGATTTCAACATCACAATTTATGATGTGTCACTGAGGTTTCAGAGAGGGTTCTTATCTTGTCAGGGAAAGCCAGGCATGGTGAGTTCAAGGCACAAGCAGGAATTCCAAACAAATTTAGAAATTGCAGTAATTTATAGTAAAACATAAATTAATGTTTCATGACTTTATGATGAGATGGCTCCAATCTTAAGGTGCAATTAGGCTGGGTTCATCACATGAATTAAGATAATCATCAAATATATGAAATCAACAAATCAATCAACAAATATATGAAAAAATGTTCATCATCTCTAGCAAATAGAGAAATGCAAATCAAAACTACAGTAAGATATCATCTCACTCCAGTCAGAATGGCAGATATTATGAAGACAAACAACAATAAGTGTTGGCGAGGATGGGAGGAAAAAGGTACACTCATACACTGCTTGTGGGTCTGAAAATTGGTGCAGCCAGTATGGAAAGCAGTATGGAGATTCCTTGGAAAACTGGAAGTTGAACCACTATTTGACCCAACTATCCATCTCCTCGGTCTATACTCAAACGACTTAAAAACAGCATACTACAGGGACACAGCCACATCAATGTTATAGCAGCACAATTCACAATAGCTAAACTGTGGAACCAAACTAGATGCCCTTTAGTAGATGGATGGATAAAAAAATTGTGGCATATATACACAATGGAATATTCCTCAGTAATAAAAGATAATAAAATCATGGTATTTCCAGGAAATGGATGGCTTTGGAGAAGATAATGCTAAATGAAGTTAACCAATCCCCCTCAAAAAAACAAATGCCAAAGTTTTCTCTGATATAAAGTGACTGACTCATGGTGGGGTAGGGAAGGGGAGCATAGGAGGAACAGGGAAACTCCAGGTAGGGCAGAGGCATGGGAGAGGAAGGGAGGGGGCAGGGTGTTACAAAGGATGGTGAGATGTGATGGACATCATTATCCAAAGAACATGTATGAAGACACAAATGGTGTGAACATACTTTATATACAAGCAAAGGTATGAAAAATCATGTTCTATATGTGTAATAAAAATTGTAATGAATTCTGCGGTCATTTATTTTTTAAAATCAATTAAAAAAGACAAATGATGAATGTGTTAACATCCTCTACTATTTCATTTTTCATGAGAAGTTTTGATAGGTAATTACAGAGTTTATCTAGCAAATAATGATTCACAGGTTTATAAAGCAAAATGAACATGAGATTTCTCCAGAGAGACATGTAAACACCTATGCCACTCTATCCTTCTTCAGGGTATGGCTAGGTATAAAGATGGGCATGGAAAGATACAATTGCCTTCTAATAACTTAGGTTAAGCTCAGAGCTACAGCAATGAAAAATACCTTTGACTCTATTGATGATTAATTGAATACAAACACTTGGGAACTCAAAAGCTGGAGTGGACAGTTTCAAAATTGAGGCACATAGTCGGCATTATTAAAAATAGACAAAAAGTCTTAGGTGATTTAGGCATAGGAAATGGTACAGAAATTTTAAACCAGTAGAAGGAGCATATATTTAATTTTTCTGCAAGGATCTTTCAGTGGTTAAACAGACATTAGAGCCATGGTTCTGTACTAGACGTGAAGACAAACACCACATTTTAAAGTCTTGGTTT